CTTTTGCACCTGCACCTCCAAGCACCTTGCACGAAAACTTAGGGGTGAACTAGGGGACTATTTATAGGGAGTTATGTACCGGGTGGGCCTTGAGTTTGTCCGCTGAACAAAACCAAAAAACATCAACTTTTATCTCTTCACACGTTTTGTGGCCCCCACACTTTGTTCTTCATGCGGATTCCCTCAATTGCTTCTGTGCATTCACGTGGGTCTGGCCCACCTCTCACTTCAAAACGCATCCATTCACAATTCTCCACCTCGGTGAAGTTTTCCCAAAACTGAGCCGACACCGACCAAACCAAATGTCTCACTTGTTGTGTCCAGTACACCGTGAAATAATTCACGACAACATACTCAATCCATAACAAGTCGAGAACCCAAATGAGAATGCAAACACTCTCCAAATGTCAGTATCAACTCACCAAATTGATCTCACCCCCATCAAAATCCAACCCGGCTGCATCATAAAGACTGCCTACGTATCCTCTTGCCCAAGGAATCAAGCCGAACGTAGTTCACCCAAATGGCCTCCAAAGGCCTCAATCCACTAGAAGAGTTCGCAACCCTTCTCCAATATCATCAACCCTGTGGCTGATAGCACCTCCAATGGCCTCAAACACCTCCACCTGAGGCGAACCAATGGCCGTATCCAAACTATGTCTGTCAGCTGCACTCGAATCAAAACCCAACTCATCATCTGCCGAATCCAAATGACTTCCACGCTGTGTCACCTCAGCTGGAATCCCAACCAATGCAGAATGATCTGGAGTAATCTTTACTCGAAGCCTCATCCAAAGTGACACCATCAGACCTATCTTCCAATGGAGTTTTACCTCCAATCACAGCAGTTGACAACTCTTTAATAGGATGACCCAAATATGTCGAAGCCTCAGTCCAGAAACTCTTCTGCAAACCATTGCTCGACCACAAACACCATTCCTCCTCCAGCAAGACACGGTTCTTCGAATTATTCACCCTATCTAGCTGCCCCAAGATTTCCTTTCCAACGAAGTGTCTCGAAATGCCGTGAGCTCGGCTCCAATACAGAAATAGGTCCATCTTGTACCTCACACCAGAATGGAGTACCTTCACCTTTCTGTCTATTACACACTTCTTCAATCTGTTAGAGACTTCTAGGACTTTCTCCAATGGGGATTTGGTTGCAACCCAAACATGCCTAGAACAGTCACCAACAAAGGAAACCAAACGCCTATTACCTCCCAATGATGCCCCCTTGGAAGGCCCCCAAACATCCACGTGAACTCCTCCAGAACGACCCTTAGCACGGTGAATAGAGGTGCCACACTTCACCTCGGTCTTCTTGCTCACATCAACATGTTCACTGGACTTTAAACTGCAGGTCTTTGCACCCTCTTTCAATCTATGCGAGGAATCAATACTGGAATGGCCAAGCCCCAAATGTCGCAGTCTAGTCGAATCAACAGAAGTCGCGTCAGCCCCCCCCCTGCCACTATACCTCCAGTCAAGTAATACAAGTTATTTCTCCTGACGCCCTTCATCAAAATACGAGAGTCTCTCGCAATCTCGAGAACCATGTCCTCAACACGAACCTTCAGACCCTCTCCAACCAGAGCTCCAATCGAGATCAAGTTCTTCCTCAAAGAAGGAACATATCTCACATCGTTTAACTCTCTAACAGTCCCGTCAAACACATTTATGCGAATTCTTCCTATCCCAAGGATCTGGCATGCACGGTTATCAGCCATGTACACCACACCACTATGCACCAGCTTCTCAAAACTGGAGAACCATTCCCTTCTAGGGCACACATGATAGGTCGCACCACTATCCAACATCCATTCAGATTCCTCCGAATAGCTATCTGTAGGACTGATAGAAAGCGAATAAATAGAAGAGTCAGAATTATTACCATCCGATACGATATTTGCTTCTGATGATGGCTGCTTCCCTTTCCCCTTCTGCTTATTCTTCATCCATTCGTCGAGCTTTGGGCAGTCTTTCTTCCAATGACCAGTCTCCTTGCACCAAGCACACTGATCTTTTCCTACTCTAGACTGTGACTTCTAATTCTTTCGGTTTGGACCCTTCCCTCTTGCGACCAACGCCTCCGCTACCGGCTTAACTGAAGCCTCATTATCCTTCTTTCGAAGCTGATAATTCACAAGTGCAGCGGTGACCTCACTATACGAAAGTGATGCCTTCCCATTAATCAGAGTAAGAACGAAGGTCTCATATTCCTCGTCGGGCAAGGAACTCAACAACAGCAACGCCTTGTCCTCATCTTCAATCTTGACATCCACATTCGCCAAATCCGCAAGAAGCTTTGTGTAGTGGTTCATGTGATCTCTAATGGAGGTTCCCTTCTTCAACTGGAAACGATAAAGTCTCCTCTTCAAATGCAAGCGATTTTCCACACTCTTGGTCAAATACTTGCTTTCGAGAATCTCCCAAATCTTCTTCGCAGAAGTCTCATTCATCACATCATATTTTAGATCTTGAGTCAAACAAGACCTAATCACACCACACGCCGTTCGATTCATCTTCTTCCAAACCTTCTCTTCAATCTCATCTGGCTTGCCATCTAACTCCAATGTATCCTCCAAATTCTGCGCGTTCAGCGCATCCAAAACCTCGCATCTCCATAATCCAAAGTTGTTTGTGACCACCCTCGACACCCGAAGCACCTTCTTTCCCCGACATCTTACGCACCAACGAACGAAGAATAGATCCAAAACTAAAAGATAGAGTCTTTACCAAAAGATCCCACCTTTATCACCAACGAAGTCCTAAACGGGCCTCCAAATTGATCTACTCCTCCAACCAAACCCTATGCTCATTTAATGAGATTTGGAGCAAATGTTTGTTGTGCGCAGCGGAAATTTCGGCAGAGTTTCTGGTGCACAATAAGAAAGAAAGATCGATAATAATTCCCGTCTCACCAAGGAGACAAGAATCTGAAGCGGATATCTCAACCAAGTGAGATATCGGCTCTTCCTCTCATCAGTTCTAGGACTGACCTGTCGAGGGATCCTACAAGCTATTACAATGGCCACAAACTCAAACAATCAATTTTACGTGGTTCGGCAAACTGCCTACGTCCACGGGGCAAGGAGGGGGGAGATCTACTATTAGAGAGGAGAGAATACAACTAGGTTTACAACTCTCACAATTTAAACCCTCAAATTAACTCTCCAATCTCTCACAAAAGACTCTCTCAACAGGATGTACACAACCCAAAAATAGGCCTCTGCCTTTTCTTTGCACAGCCGTAACTGAGTTTTCTCCAAAGCCAGCGTGTCCTTTGCACCAGCCCTTCTTTGCTTCGGTTTGCGCGCCGGTTTTCCCAAGCCCTTAGCTCTGCAGCCGCCAAAGTTCTCAGCACCCCTCACCTTTTGCACCTGCACCTCCAAGCACCTTGCACGAAAACCTAGGGGGGAACTAGGGGACTATTTATAGGGAGTTATGTACCGGGTGGGCCTTGAGTTTGTCCGCTGAACAAAACCAAAAAACATCAACTTTTATCTCTTCACACATTTTGTGGCCCCCACACTTTGTTCTTCATGCGGATTCCCTCAATTGCTTCTGTGCATTCACGTGGGTCTGGCCCACCTCCCACTTCAAAACGCATCCATTCACAGAGTTGAGGGAGGATTTGAAGAGGTTGAAGGTCTGGGCGGCCTCAGAGAGGTGAGAGGAGCAAAGGAGGGAGGAGAGGGAGAGGTGGCGGAGGGGAGGAAGGAGATTGAGGGGTTAAGGTTTGGGATTGGAGCTGATTTATGACGCTGGAAGCCACGCTCGCAGCCACGTTCGCACCATGTAAGGCGTCACGTGAGAAATTTCGCTAGAAACTTGGGTCCGGCCAAATTTCATGCCCATTTGTCATTGGAGAAAAAAATAATATACTAATATGTCGCTGGAAAAAAACATATACTAAACTATCACCAAGGGTAAATAAAATATACCAATTTGGTATTTTTGCCCGTATTTAGGAGTTAAGTATCGGGGAAAAAAACGCAAATAGCAATAAGATTTAGGAGCTAAATTTGTAATTAAGGATTCACCCTCTAAATCTGCCTATTTGCTAATTTATCCCTTCAAATTCAAATGGTGTTTAGAGAAAAAGGTATAAAAATTCAATATGGGAGATTATCGGATTAAATCCTATTTGCATATTACCCCCTCCAGACCTTATTTGCGAAGGATTTTTGTAAGATACATATTTCAATCTTGTTGGCATATTTACTTCTGACAAGTGCATGTTCAGTGGCGGAGCCTGGATTTTAATCCTATGGTGTCCTATAGATGCATCGGTAATGGTGGAAAATACATCTCTCTCAACATAAGCCACCAAACTATCATTAAGCTGAAAAAATTCGAACCCACGCGCATGTTGGGTTCCTTGTGAGATTCGAACCAACGCGCATGCTGGGTTCCTTGAGACCCTTTTCCGCTAAACCATCTATACTTTTGTTATTTTTGTATGTGCTCTATGGTAGATATTCAGTTTTTACTGGTGTCCTGGGAACCCAAAGGCACCCGTTCAGCTCCGCCCCTGTGCATGTTGCTAATTTATTTTTATGAATCATAGCGGTATTAAACGAGATGGGTATAAAATTCCAATATGAGAGGATATAGGAAGGCATATAGGTAAAAAGACCATTAGAAAACCACTCTTGATCGTTGATACTAGTATCAGTGTCCCTGTAAAATTCCACCTATACATCTCCATATAATTGACAAAATAGAATTTAGAAAGATTTAACTACAAGTTTAACAGATATCAATGGCTAAAAGTTCTAAAACCAGCATGTGACGGTCATGTCACATGAGAAAATTAAGTAATTTTTTTTTTATATTTACATAATAGAAGATATTAACGTACCCGTGTTAAATGACTTGATATCACAAATGCTGTGAAAAACAATCAAGGGTATATAAGTGCAAATCCGGTGAAACTATAAGGTATCTAGCCGTAAGAATCCAGCCTACCCGCTTCTTATACCGCCTTTTCGTCTCATCTCGTTCCCTCCCCCTAATTTCATCTCCCTTGACTCCCAAAAATCAAGGAAAAAAATAAAAATAAAAATCTCAGCTTTGGCAAACAAAATGGTGAACGCAACGGAGCTCTGGCGAACCCTCGACCACTCGATCGTTCACTACACCGGCCTATCTCCGGCGACTTTCTTCACGAATCTGGCGCTGGCGGCCCGGCGTTCTACCACGTGGTCTCCGGCTGGATGAAGCCGCCGCCGCCGCCGCCGGCGCACGGAGCAGGGATGCGGAGTTCGAGGCGGTGCGAGCCTCTGCCGCCGCCGGTGCAGTCCGGGGAGGTCACCGAGGAGGAGCTTAGGGCTTATGATGGCTCTGATCCCAAGAAGCCTCTGCTTATGGCGATCAAGGGTCAGATCTATGACGTCACGCAGAGCAGGTATGGTTCTGTTGTGTTTCGGCTAGGGTTTTGGGTTTTGGGTTTTGGATTGACGATCTTTAAAGTTTTAGCTGATTTGGTTGATTTTTTTTTTCCTCGCTGGAGTTGGAATTATTAATGATAGTTTTAAGTAGTTTAGTTTAGGAGTATTATAGTTTTTATTTATTTTTTGATATAATATAATTAGATCGTTGGAGTACGTGCATTGGCGAGGATAAATTTGTTTCACAAGGGATTAGCAATGGTAACTTTTTATTTAATTTTCATGGTTTTAAATTGACACACATTGCTTTCAAATTCTTGCATTTATAAGTAATTGGAAAATTGCATCTTTGTTATTACAACTAGTAATAAGAAGTAATATATTCCAGATACAACTATTTGGGTATCTGAATGACGGAATCTAACTTGCATGATCCGTTCATTAGATTGATAGATTCGGGTTGAGTTTGGATTTGAAAATATTTGATTAGAAGGGGTTTTGGGGCATTTAAGCTATATTAGCTTTTTGCGGCTTTCATTTTTATGATAAAAGTTTCATAAAATTGCATGGGTAAAATGGTCATATGCTTGGTAAGTGTAACTTTATTTAAGCGAGCTTATAAGCTAGTTTTTTAAAAGTCGGGAATCCTTACTTTTAAATGAGACTTTACTAGCTTGTTGGGATATTACCAAACAGGTAATAACCCAAGTTAAGTAAGGCCGCGTTTGTTTGGGATGTTGACGAACAGGGTGTTTGGAGCAGTGGTTTTTGGTTGAAAGGGTTTTTAACCTTGCCTTTTCATATATACTTGGCTTGGTAGCATTTCAAGTAAAGCTACCTTGCTAAGTCCATTTAAATAAGTTAGGATTCACTAGCTTTTGAAAAACTAGTTTATGAAGTCACTAAACAAGCCATGCTTGAGTGCAATTTTTGTAATTTTTTTATCATAAAAACTAAAAGCCATTGAACCCTAGAATAGCTTAAAAGCTTCTAAAGAGCCCCTAAAACAAACATCCTCCTAATCAAATTTCTACAAACCCATATTTAACTAGGATGCATTCCTCCAATTAACCCTTTTCGCTGCTCACAAGAATTTAAGAGTAATGCGTCCTGGTTGAAGTATAATATCCAAAATCATGTAAATTAAGTAAAAGTTATCTTTGCTGATGAATCAAATAAAATATACTTTTGTCTGACTCATTTGATCGTACATTGATGATAGATCAGAGAAGAAAGTTCTTTCTTCGATTTTGGAGAAGATTGGAGAGCTTCGACGTCACAGTAAGGTTTGATCAGTGTAGTAAGCTGAGGAGTCGAACCAGGGTTTGATTAGTGTCTAACTAGGGCTTGATCAGCCTCGAACTAGGCTTTGATTAATGTTGAACCAGAGAGATGGGGTTGATGTCAAACTAAAGAGGGGCTAGAGAGCGGGGATGAAGTCGGCAAATTGGGTATGAGCAAGGCCTTCCTCTCGCTCTTCCCTCGTTTTCTCTTGGGTTTGGGAGATAAAATGAAAAGAAATGCATTATGTTTGTTTTCTCTAGGATTTTTTATTTTGATTTTCTTCCCCAATTTCTTTCAAACCAAACAAGAGAAACTAATTTTCGCACACGCTTTCTTTATTTTTCTCACCCTCCCCCTCAAACCAAACACAGTGAGAAATATTTATGATTTTCGTTCCAACTTTACGATTTTCTTGCTAACTAAACAAGAAAAGTAATTTTATTTTCTTCTCTTTTTTCTTTTCCTTACATTTTCCGTTCTCTTTCCTTCTCTTTTCTCGTCCTTTCCTTCAAACGAAACACATCTTTCATCCTTTCACTGTCATCAAAACAAGATTTTCAAATGGAAAGTTATGAGAAAGTATTTTGTCTTCAGTAGTTTCCATTTACTTTCTGGTCTCAAAACATGCCATGTATTTTCTTCATTCCAGAATATTAACTTGTTTTAAGATGGTAGTTTGGAAAAAAGTTGAAAGCATAAGTTGGCTTTAAGCAATTTTTCTGTTTGATAGTTTAGTAATTTGTTTCTTCACCTTTTCATTTATGGCTTAGATGTTTTGCTTATATCCGTCGTTATCTTCTGAAGTTTCTGAAGTTGTTTGGTTGGTATGTGAGTCAGATTAGGTTCCTTTATGGTTAAAGTTCATGTCATTTATCTCCCCTTGTTATGAGCTTCAAATGTTTTTCCATTTTTTCAATCTTGTTGACTTTTATAATCTGTTTTTTTAGTTTGCCCCCGTATTGACTATGGTAGATGGGGTGTTTCGTTTTAAAAATCAACTTAAGTTGCATTGTCTTTCTTTCTAAATATTTTATATGATTTCCTGGTATATGATTCAAATGTATTTCCATCTTTTAATCTCATGTATGTGGGAATCGAAACAACTTAGCTTTTTTGGTTCTATACTCTTGATTTTAACTGCTTGTTTTTGGGTCTCAAATCCAAACTTTTGAGATGATATGATGTCCTTTGTAGTATTTATGGGCATGATTCTAAGGTTGAGTTCTATCTATTTTGTTATTACCGTCAAATTTTTTTTTTGGTCAATATTACCGTCATATTTGTTTTAGCATAATGTGTAAAGTACGTCTTAGCACCACCTCATTAGACAGATATCATGTTCATTATCTTATTACCTATTGATTATCACGTCCTACTTTATGGGGACCGAGTTACCATGTTGAAAGCTTTCCCTATTTCATCCGTATTCTAGCATTACATTTTTAATTACCTAAGAATAAAGCAAGCAGTTTGGGTTAAGAATTGGACATGATTAGGTTTTGGCTGGTTCTCTTCAGAATTTGTGTCCAACCTTGTAAAAGCTAAAAAAGTAAAAAAAGGGAGAAAGAATGGATTGCTGCTTCAGTTTGGATGAATGTGAGGTGTGGACAAAAGTGAGATGAGGGGCGGGTAAGTTGATCAGCTTATAGTTAACTGTGGTAAAAGATGGGGGTTGTTAAAAGGAAGAGTTTGAGATTTCTGTGGTAAAGGTTGCATTTAGCTAATTAATGGCATAGGAATAATAGAGACTGTAGTAACAGAAAGATCAAGGTGAAGATGGTAGAAAAAATCGGATGACAGTGGAGCAAGTAATGCTGTAAGGCTAGGTTGCATAAGTATGGGTACGGGCACAGGAATGGGAAACGGCAAATTTGTAATAGATAGCGTACGGAGACATGACTGAATATGCGCGCGTGCGGGGGCGGATGCGCATCACATTTGTCTTCCACAAAAGACAAAAACCTAAATTCTGACTTATCCAAAGCTGCCATGTGCTACCCATGTGTTGTTGTCATCTCCACCAAGAAAAGACAAAAGCTAATGAAGCTGGAACCGGCTATCATGGTCAAACATCCTCAGTTTATCCTCATGGTATAGTGATGTCATGTTCCATTATAACAATAAAAAAAAGAAAAAAAGAAAATGAGCGTGAAATTGCTCACCTCCTTGCTCTATCCTCAAACAGCCGAAGAAGCCTAGTGAAGTCATCTGTGCCCATGCTGTTGGGGTATGTAACCATGCCAGAATGTGCCCGACACGGGTACCACCCCCTTGTAGCTGTGTCAGGGTATCATAGCTGTAACATAGCTGAAAGAGTTCTTTACCACAAAAAGACTCCAATAGGCAACTGGATAAAGTTCGGTTCTTCAGGGAGAGCTGGTGTTTATGGTTTGGATAGGAAATTTACATAGGGGAGGTACCTGAAAATATCATAATTTGATCATTACAATGACACGAGAATTAGTGCAATTGCTGAAAACTCTAGCTTAGTGTAGAAAATTTGAACCGTGAATGGAGCTCAGGGGACAATCCATTACCTGCCTATATACCTGTGGGCTTATGCGCTCAGCTGATCTTCATGCACACATTATTCTGTGGCATGGACGTACATGTACTGCTGTTTGCACTGTTTTGAACATATTATTTACGTGTTTGTTCAGGCAGGGAACAGTGCTAATTGAGTTGTTCAGAAGTACATAGGAATGATGTATCTTCACATACGTGCGTGCCTTCTCTATGAAATAATCAGTTTGCACAACCACTTTGCATATTGCATGTATGCCTCTGATGGGTGGTATGCACCAGGTTCAGGTGGTAACGGTCAGAGAGAAGGGGATGTAGGGAGGTTTTGGCAAGTAAATCAGACTAGTTGTCTGAAGCCACACACATTTTTTACTTCTTGAAACCATAGTGATGGGCTATATATAGGGCAGCTAATCATGTGCATGCATCTCTATATATTTCTTCAGTGAAACAATGCGTCCATACCTCCATCATTGTTGCATTTTTTGTTTCTGGCATCCTTACCAAAGAGCTGGTGAATCTTTGGATCTTTGGTATTTAGCTGACCTGACAATTATTTGGAGAATTGTCAGGAAATGGAAGATATTTTGTTCAACTCCTTTTTGTACTTATCACAGTAGAACCTGAGTGAATGTAGTAACCCATAAATTGTATCTTTGGCTATGATGATTTTAAGTGCGATGCTCATTGCAATGAGACTGAAATTCTTAAGACTCTCTTTGATGTTTTAATTTTAATCCTGGTTATCTTTGTAGGATGTTTTATGGGCCTGGGGGTCCGTATGCATTATTTGCTGGTAAAGATGCTAGTAGGGCATTAGCCAAGATGTCATTCGAGGAGAAAGATTTGACTGGAGATATTTCTGGCCTTGGACCCTTCGAGCTTGAAGCCCTCCATGACTGGGAATATAAGTTCATGAGCAAATATGTTAAAGTGGGAACGGTCAAAAAAACCGTGCCCGTTACAGATGGCAGTACTTCTGAAACAGCTGAAGCATCCACTCAGACAACCGAAAGAGGCACCGCAGAAGGCCAAGCTGAGCACGGTGAAGCGAAGGAATCTGAATCGAAGGAAAGTGCAGCGGAGGAAACCAGGGAATAAGTGTCGAGAGCTCCAGTGCACCGAACCTGTTCTCTATGTACTCAAAATATGTAACACGTAAAAGGGTTCTTGTTGTAATGATGATATGTGCCTTATGTAGCGAGGTAATAAGTTGGGTGTTGAGAGTTTTGCCTCTGTATCTTTTGGTGCTTTCGACATATCTGAGATAGCCACTGAGAGTAAAAATGTTATACTTCAGATGTTGCTTTCAGGTGATGCGTCACATTTTCACTTTCAGATGTTGTAATTTGTTCTGTGGCTGTGCCTGTTTAAGTAAAATTGTTGCCAGGAACCTTGAAAGGGTTAGTTGCGCATAGACTCCTTGTAGTATATCTGTTTTAAACTTACTACCTTATAGTTTTGCTGTCGCAGATAGACCTCTTATGGTAAATATTTTTTGTGTAAAATTTTACTAGGGGTAAAACAGTAATAAATTTTTTTGGACAAACTTTATTTTTTTTTAAATTTCTTCTTTAAAACTATACATAACTGATGATCGTGAGGCAATTTTCAACTACTGAGGATATTAAAGACAGGCTTCATTTGTTACATCTACATTTTTGGTAACCGAAAAAGATATCTGCGCTCAATCAAGAAACTGATAGTCAGAGAGCCTCTTCACATTTTCTCTCATGCTGGCCATCTGCAATTTAAAATAAATAAATAAAAAAACAAAGGTTTAGATATTGATAAAATTGTCAAATCTGCTGTTGAAGAAGGGAACCATGACCTTTTCTTTTATTCTTTTTTTCTCATAAAAAATAATATAAATTGTTTTTCCATATCCTAAGACACGGACTTAGTCAATAAGTCGGTTCAAAATAATTAATATCTTTAGACTTCTCAATGAGATGTCAACGGCCAAGAGCCTCACCATTGTCTTCGGTCAAATGGCCAGCAGCACATTGAAGAAGTTCACACTTTTCATAAGAAAACTTTTTCAAATAAAAGAAAAATGTCACAAGATAGCGCAGCAAAAGTCCCCTGGTTCCAGCTTTGAGGATTCAACGCTGAGGAAGCCTAGAGTTGATTAAAACGGCAATAGCACTTCATATACAATATAGATTTTATTTTTAAAAAATTTCGCCTTTTTTAGTTGTTTTTGTTAGATCTACATCAAAACTTGAGATCTAAAACCATATAGCCATGATTAATTCAAAGAGATTAAGTATTTGGGGGGAAATGAAGGTTGAGAGACATGTAGTTTTGAGGAGAATTGGTGGCGAGAGGTCCGAAGTCCGATGACATTACTGTTTGACAGATATTCAGTTCTATACTGTGGGTTGCTTCAAGAAGTGAATCGCGGCGGAACCTCAAGATGATAATGCCTTGAACAACTGCGCGGGTGTTTCCAGGAGAGAGAGCGAAAACTCAACAAACCGATCAAGAACCAGTGATGTCAAGAATCCACGAAAAACAGAAATGCTTATTCCGGTATGATATATGATTTCTCCGAAGAACATGACGGAAGAGTAGTGGAATGTTAGAAGATGATCCAATGCAACTTCTGCTCAGCGCCATGTGAAAAGTGCATAACTCTCAACAGTGGATTGATGCCAGGAATGAAATATATCTATGGCAACAAGTAAGTTGAACTGTGTGCCATTGCAGAAGGTGCAAAACGCAATGTTGTAAGAGCGATTTTTTTTTTAAAACGAAGCGGATGCAAATGTAATGTGAGGGATATAAGGCACGTCGGTGCTGGCGCTAAAGGCTATAGCTCAGAAAGGAAGCCATTGATTATACAGAGATTTCTCTGCCGGTTTGCATCGAAAGACTGCTTTCAGAATAATCATGGACACTTGGTTGCCTCTTATGATCTTGAGTTAGCATCAGATGGATGTTAAGACAGCCATGTTCTCCAACTGGCGACATGATGAATGATCTAGTATGTAACCAGAAAACTTTGTGTCGGGACCCAAAGAATGATGTCTGCAATAAGAAATCCATCTATGGACTCAAGCAAGCTCCTCGTCAATGGTATCATAGATTTCAACAAATAGTTATCTCGTTCGGGTTTTGAGATGAACATGTTGATGACTGGTGTATATCGACAAGTTCAGTGGGAGTAGTATATTTTTCGTGTTCTGTATGGTGAACATCTTGGCGTTGCCACTAGTATATAGCATGCTCTCACACCACAAGAGATTTCTATCAAAGAATTTTGAATGAAAGATCTTGCGGAACGCCTGCTTTTATGATAGGGGATCCAGAGTGAGGCATCGAGATCGCGCTCGGGGTATTCTTGGATTATCACAAAAAGAGCTATATCGATAAGTAGCTTAAATGTTTGGCAGGTGCAAGATTGCAGACCAGGTGCACCCCTGTCGCTAAAGGAGACAAGTTCAGTCCAATCAGTGCCCTAAAAGGTGAACCTGAAATCAGGAAATGCAGAAGATTCCTTATGCTCGCCTGTAGGAAGTCTAATGATGCTCTAGGTATGTACGCGTCCGGATATCGTACATTGTTGGGATGTTAGGCAGATACTTAAGCCACCCTGGTATGGTCATTGGATAGCAGCTCAAAGGTTATGAGGTATCTTCAGAAAAACAAAGATTACTGCTCACATACAGAAATCAGAGAAATGTAGAGCGTCATTGGAGTATTCAGACTTGATTTGCCTGGATGCCAAGATAGCAGAAAGTGCTACATCAGGCTACATTTACTATGCTTGTAGCAGGAGGAGCTATATATGCGAAAAAGTTGTCAAACAAACACTAGTAGCTTCCTCCACGCATATGGCCAGCCAAATGTAGCTTGCCTATGAGGCATCAAATCAGAATATGGCCGCTGCCGCAAATTTTGTCACGGGACTGCGCATTTGGAAAATGTGAAGCCACTAAGCGCTAATGTGTGACATAAATCTGCGTTAATGTATTCCAATAACAACAGGAGCCCTCAACTAAGTCAAAACATATTGACATGAAGTCCTGGTTGTGAAAGAAAGTACAGAGTGGACAGATATCCATAGAGCACATTGGACAAACATCCCATGTTAGCTGATCCTCTTACTAAAAGGGTTACCACCTAAGGTCTTTCAGGAGATACGTGCTCATATGGGGGTGTGGTATTATTTGAGCGGATATTATGTTTTAGTGGGGAGTTTGTATTATGTGCGTGCTTATGTTGTTTAGTATTGTCTGATCAGGAATAAAGTTTCAGTTAAAGACACTCTGATTACATATGTTTGGTTTTGACCTCACTAATGAGGACAGGTTGAAAAATAGACATGTACTGATCACACTTGCCATGTAATTTGCATGCTGCACATCCATGATTGATCTATGTCATTTGCATTGTATTGGATATGTGCACCATTGAATGGGTCAGTCACGATAAATGTGACGATGGCCGCTTTGATCCGTATATTGCATATAGTCAATGGACGAGATGTTTCGGAAATACCATTTCGAGTGATAGCCAATTTTTGAGCTGCATAAGGTTTATACACAGTAAGGAATCATATGGTGCCCAAGTGGGAGATTGTTGGGGCATTAATCTTAATAAATCTCATGTGGGGACATATGATTAAACAACTGGGTATTGCTATCTTTTCAGGAGTAACCACTAAAGTGATCAATTAAGTTGGGTTATGTATTAAATGATTCATGGGGGTCATATGTGCCAGATACCAGGTTGTAATGAATTTATGAGGCTAAATTACAAAAGTACAATATCTATAAATAACGGGTTATGGTCCCTAACTAGGGTTACATTCTTCTAATTCTCTTCACCGCATCTAATGAGAGAAATTCGGGATTAGAGGAACCCTAAGGTTAGGAAATCATCAAAAACCCAAATCAGATTCATCAGGATTCAGGTATAAGCTTCCGCTCTTTTGATTTTG